TGAGTTTCCACGGAGCACAGTGCCATAGTGCTCATTTCCCACTTTTATCATGTTTTCAGGCCAGGATGTCGGGCCGGGAGCGTGACGTGACGGAGGCTTCAGGATATTTATGTTTTTTACTGTATATTTATGATGATGACTTACGCTTCCGCTAATGATGTTTTGTTGACTTGTGACGATGTTTCTGATGTCTTTTGACGTACACATATTTTGACGAACTTATCGTTAGACGAACTTTTGGGAACTTATGCTTTCAGTAACCGGACGATTTTATTAAAAATTAAATAACGGTTTTCCAAATTAAGTAACGTTTTTAAGGTAGCACCCCTAATCAATTTTCGCAAAGTAAAAAGGTTTTATTTTTAGAAGACTTTGCGAAATTTTCGCACTCTGATTTCACGATAAGGAGGGGTGTTACACCGCGCACCTCCTGCCGGTACGCTGCTATCGCGATATGCGGGCAGCGCACACACGACCAACACCTGTCGGCCGTACGGCGTTTCTTTCCGACAACTTCAACGTAAAACAACATCATCTGACTTAACATGACTAATATACTGAATTTACATGGAAAGTGTTGAACTTGTTCAATGGACCAAACATACGTCCGCGGTGCGCTCGCTATGTGCGAGGCTCACGGCTCATGGCCACTTCCTCGTCAAACATGAAAACTTCTCGAACAACATAAGCTAACTGAACATAACATGACCTAACTTGCTCATTTGAACATCAATTGTTCGAACAAACTTGACAATAATAAAAGATGACATGCTACGGCCGTGACACGCACACCATGTGCGGTCCTTGGCTTTAAGCCAATTGCTCGACCGAACGTCTACTTGCTTCAACCAACATGAAGTAATTGACTATTAAATGACTTATAATGATCATTTAAACATGAATTTCTCGAAGATTGCCGAACAAAAGAGAGTTTACTCGGTCATGGCCTAAAATGGCCTAAACCGAGCTTACTATGGCCGATACATGAAATTTCAAGTCATGGGCTGAGCAACTTCGCATCAACTGATCTTATAACATGAGAGAGAGTTGGAAGTGAGAGTACCTCTCCAAACGTTCGACTGAAATGGAGGATAGGGCGTGATTCCTTGGCCTCGCGTGTGTGTCGTGTGTCTACCTCTCGGCGGAACTCGTGTGAGACGTCCTTAACGGTTGCGATAGGAAGAACTTAAGGTAATTAACTCACTTATTCTATCTCTATTTAGCTGCTGAAGAAAGGAGCTTATATGCTTAAGACAAGGTGGGAAAAATTTTCCAAAGTAGACTACATATATAGAGCGTCGAGAGGAGATGAGGTGATGTAGGTGTGATGTGGCTTAACCTTAACTTGGCACTTGTGTTAATATCATGAGCTCTTAAGGTGACTAATCACCTTCTTAACTTGACATGTGGCCTTGCTTGAAAGGAAGAGAAATTCATTTCCCTCATGCAAAGAAAGCTACGGCCTTAGA